TTTTTGTGTGACTCGCTGACGGCTTTGATGGGCGTGTTTTCTGCAAAATCCTCATGCAATTCGCAGCTTGCAATATTGCGCGCACGTCACACTTGGTGACCATGAAGGGAGTAAGTAAGTAAGGGCGCGCGAGCAGAATTATTAAAACAGCAAAAAGTTTGTTTTATTAAGAATTTATTTCCGACTTAAAATATCGGAATTCCTGGGCGATCCAAAGCTTATGTGTATACTATATGTAGATATATATATGTGTGTGTGTGTGTGAGTTTGTCTCACTTGCGCCTGCCTGCCGTTCGCCACTTTGACTTGAACTCCCTCGGCGCCTACCGCGCTTGGTTGGGTAAATGTCTCTGCGTCAGCGTCGTTCAGTGACTTTGGGCTTGTCCATCTCATTGTCGACATTTGTCCTTTGTCGCTTTCCGGTGATGGTCTCTTTCAGCTACGTATGTATGTAGGTAATACCTTCTACATACATATGTATGTACATAGTAAATGTGTGTTGTTCTTGTGAATCGCTGAGCGTCGTCGTGTCAAGTTCAAAGCATTAAATAACTTGGCACATTGCATGACAGACAGTGCCTGGAGCAGCTAAGGCGAAATGGCCACATCCCCCCAACCACACGCAGTCAACTTTTATCCACTAATCGTACCGCTTCGTTGCGGCTGAAACAAAGCCAACAAAAATCGCACAAAGACGCATAGCCAGCAATCAAGGTAAAGGTAAACAGTGAGCAGTGAACGTAACACTACATACATACATACATATGTTTTGTGGTAATAAAATAGAAGTTCATATGTTGCACATTCATGTGTGCAAACCTTAACTACTAGATTTATAAATACATATTTATATACATACATACATACTAACAAGCTTTCATTATTTATCGTACATACATACATATTTAGAGGTACTTACATATGTACACTTATGCATACAAATACACATTTGTGTTGTTATATTCACTTTGTCAATGACAATGCCCTCCACTGTTTAATATTGTATAATACTTACTAACTACATACACACTAATTCGCATACATATATAGATATATGTACCCAGTACGAAAAGAAACTAGTTTAAATATTGATGTTGAACTAGTTTTTTAACCACCACAACTAATTGAAGATCTGATTTTCTTGCTTGCAACGAACTGTTTACTTTGACATTTGGCGATGTCCTAGGAAGCAGTCAATTATCCGACTCTGCATTTGATTTCAACTACTTTAAAATGCATTTGGCTTAAAGCACTTCGAAGTCAGTATGTTTCTTTTGCAGATGATTTTTGAACCAATTTAAAATAACTTCGCATTAAATGCTGAAATAGTTAATTGCCCAAAGTCAGATGGTGTTTCAACTAATATTGAATTATTTGCAAATATACTTATTTATCAAAAGTGTAAGCATTTGGTTTACCTCAAGGAGGCTGCTAGGTGATTTCGACATCAATTTGAGGTTAGTTGCTACATAAGCAGAAATAAATTACTTTTTTTCTAAGGTAATTGGTTGAGCTATGCCGCACTGGGTATGTTTGCAGTTAGTTATTCGAGTACTTTATATTCGCATACATATGTTTGTGTTTGTGTATAGGTATTCTTATTTGCTCGCCAATTGTATGCGAATGCCCTCCTCACAGGTAAATAGTTAACTTGCAGTCGTACATACATACATAAAGCTGTACTTATGAGTTGAGGCGCAGAAAAATGAGGAAAGTGTAAATATTAATGCAATAAATAATAACAAAAATGGCTGCCGCAATGGCGTATTGTAAGATGATATGCCATGTCACAATTGTTTAGTCACTGCGAACGTTTGTGAGTGCATATGCAGACACATACATATGTATATTTGTATGTGCTATGTATTTGTGTGTATTTAGTTGCTGTCTGCAAAAACGAACTTTGGCTCTTTTCGCGCGTCCCATGTACATATTTTCGGTGGGAGAGATCCTCAAAGAAAGCTGTGCAAGTTAACTTAGAATGTCTAAATAAAGTCCGTAAAGGATATTTTATTCGGAAAATAAAGTTTATCGTTAGCTAGATTCCTAGCCTTTTGTATGCCACTAGCATGACGGGTTAATGAGAATCAAATTAATAACTACGTATCGACGACTGAGTCAATGGATCTACTTATCTCGGCAGCCAGTTCGAAAACGTCCTATCTCAAGAACGCACTATTTCAGAATTCGGTTCAAGAACGCACTATCTCAGCTGCTGATTCAAAAATGGCCTCTCTAAACATATTTTCAAATTCTCAATCAAAGGCTGAGATAGGACGTTTTTCAATAAAATTCTGAAATGGGTTGTTCCTCAACAAAATTTTGAAGTAGGGCGGTCTTGAAAAGTTTTTGAACCGGCTGCCGATGTGGGCCGATCTTCCACTCAGCTTTCGATATAAAAATAGAGAGAGAGATTTTTTTGCGAAATTTGATAGGAATAGCCTTCGTATTTTATTTTCCTTTTGGTCAAAATATCATACATATTTATTTTAAAGTTTCATTGCTGGAATGGGCCAAATTGAAGTTGAAGCTAAGGTTAAGAAATTGTATTACTAGGATTCCCATAACTTGCAACAGTGCTTCGCGCACAAAAGCACGAAATAATTTACGATACTCTTACAGCTCAGGTGTAGTAAGTAGGTCTCTTTTTTTGATTTATTTTTTCAAGAATGCTTCGATTAGCTTAGTTTCGGCAGGCTGGTTTCTCAAGAGAGAGATTAGTAACCAAAATTGCTCTGAAAACCTGAGTGCCTTCTTTGATATTCATCTAATAAGTACGGATTCCATTTCTTCCTTATATTTAGAACAATTGCGAAACCCTACTGCGGTCATTGGCAGTTAAATTCTGCCTCAACAGAGCATTTGAAAGCCTTAACATAATCAAAACTACACTGAGAAAAGAGTTTAGTTACGTCCACTTATTTGGTTAGGGCAAATTATTACTTGACAGCTCTGGATTATTGTCGACCAAATTAGAACCCCATTAATTCATACATAAGTATGCACCAGCAAGTGGTTTGAAGGGCTTCCCTGCATTAATCTAAGATTTGTTTATGTTTACTTAATACCTTAAGACAACAGTTCAATCATCGAAAGTATCAAAAAAGCAGCAGCTTCAAACAAAATCAAACAAACTCTTCTTCTTGATTGGCGCTGTGACCGCTTAAGCGACATCAACATCAAACAAACTCAAAGGCATGCAATGTGAAAAATAACCGTACCATATAACAACAATTTTAATGTGTTCATAAGGCTTCAATTTAACTGGCCAGACTGTGTATAATCGCAATGAATGCAACAACAAAGCAGTAAATGGACACAAACATTACGGCAATAAGCACAAGAATGAGTAAGATTTTAAGCTGCGAATGATGATGCGCGCATGCCACAATGCCCCATCACAGAAACACACGCTCGCCACACACACACTCCCATATGTGCATATGTACTGATACCTGCACCTTTCATCTGCGGGAAGGTGATCACCGCTCCGCGCATTGTAAGCAATAATTCACGCACTTGGTGGCATGTGTGATTAATCGGTGTTTCACATATATAAATCATGGTTTCGAGAATTTTTGGAGCACATCAGCCGCCACGCTTTGCTCTGCAGTGTTCGCTATAATCACATTTTGACTGCAGCAGCCCATACACGTTGACAAAAGCCCAAGCGCCACACCGTAGACCGCATGCGCGTTGCATTCAAATGCGCAATGTTGCAGTAAGTTGTTGGCGGTGGCGGTGGCGGTGGCTATTGGTGGCACTGACAACATCACCACCGCATTAAATCCTATTAACTGTGAATTTATGACCGTGCGAGCGGCGTGTGCAGCAGAGTGAAAACGCCAAGCGCGCGCGGAAAAAAACAAAGCGAATCACAAAGCAGCAAAAATCATAGCGGGACACGAGTGTTGCAAGTTGATTACGGCAGTCGCTGCAGCCACAGCCGCCGCCGCAGCAGCAGTAATAACACTTTTGATTTTTAGGAGCCGGCGGCTCACTAGCTGCCTAATTGCAGTAAATGTTGCAAAAATGATTGCAGTTTTTATGATTAGCTGCGACTATGGCAGTGGCAGCGGCAGCAGCAGCAGCAGCAGCACCAACAGCAACAATAATCTGAATACATATGTATAACAGTTTATTATTTATGTTTACATGTTTACCGTTGTTTTAAGCGCATGTTGCAGCCATTAAAGTTGCACTTGAAAACGTGCAACACGGCGCAGCATACATTTCCATAAGTGGATTTATGCGTTAAATTAATTGCCCGCCGGCTAATGCCATGTCCGCCGCGCTACAGCCTGGCATCCACGCTGGCCTTTGCCTAGCCACGGAGGCAGAAATTTATTCATTTTCCGGCTAGTATTTGTTTTGAGCCATTTTATTTTTTTTTTGTTGTCCATAATACATACATTAACAACATTTCATGCTGTACTGAGCAGGTTAATTAAAGCAGCTTAAAATGTCCATACAGCTACAAAAACAGGCAAACATTCATACATACATATGTACGTATGTATGTACATTCAAAGGTCGTACATTAGGGAGAGTTGATCTTTTAACTAAGTGATCCAAGTATTGAAAAAATGTGTCTCGGTTTGATTTCAAATTCCAAAGAATGGAAAGATCGTCAAATAATAAATGCAAATGCGAGATCGATTTTAAAAGATACTAACAAAATTATTTAAACAAATTATAAAGCGAAACGTTGAAACGAGAAAACTGAACGGATTTTTCATGCAAGTCTTTGTCCGTTTAACAAAAAAAAAAACCTCTAACATTTTCGCTGTTGTTGTACGTTATGCTTGATTTCAAACACTTTTTCAAATCAGCAACAATTTTGTGGTCTACTACACTTTGTCCCATTGAAAATTGACTCGCCCTTAAGTTAATGTTCATAACTGACGAATGCGCGTTAAATAAATATTAAATAAAATTTTATTTGCTTTTGGCGCGCAGTGCATTTATCCAATTGTTGCTAATTTCTGTGCCATTTCACTTAAAATACACGCAGCGAATTTAAATTGGTTTTACGACGCTATTAAGTTTTTTAGTTGGCTTAAAATGTATTTAGATTTATACATACAAACATACATACATACATACATACTATAAACATGTTTAATAAAATAATTAATAATTACACTCACATGCTTACATATTTGCATGCGATTATTTAATAATTTGATGTAATTGATTTACAGTTATGTGACTTTATGTCCGCTGTATTTGTTGATTAAAAGAGAAGGGTAAAATTTGCTCGTTTTAAGTTAGTGAAAATCCAACTCGACATGGCAAACGAATCATTGCAATGGCTCAATGGTTACATGTACATATTTAAAGAATGCATTTTATTTTATTTTAGTTATTTCATGTATCTATATATGTAATGAAATGATGTTTCAAAATTCCTGCACTTTTTCATGCTGTTGAAGTTGTCATGACGAGGGATTATATATTTCTGCCAATGACCGTGATTTCCAAAATAATGGAGGCTTCGGAGTCCGCAGATCAAGCAACGTTTTACTCTTGAGAACTTCAGCGAGGCCCAGCATGCCTTCCGCAAAGGTAGTTGGGTTGAAACAGCCCTGCCCGGGGTGGTTGGGAGTAAAGAGCAAGCAATGAACTACAAAGAATATGCGCTGGCGGCCTTTTTGACCTTTTAGGACTAGACCTACTGATCACTCTTGCATCGACAATATGTCGAGCACCAGATAATAGCTCCTTGTCCCCCCTGTTGTGGAACCTCGTGCTAAACGAATTCCTGCTCCGTACATCGAAAGCTGCTAAGGTCGTTGCTTATGCGGATGACTTAGTCATTCTGGTCGTTGGGTAATTCCTTATCATTGTCAGCGAGATTCTCCAATCTGCAATTATCGATCTGGCAGGATGGGCATAAAGAAACGGTCTAGGGCTTAATCCCACTAAAACCGAACTTGTTCTTTTCACCAAGCGATATAAGTAAAATAGAAAAACTTCGAAGTCTGTCCCTCAATGGAGCAAATCTTGAATTGTCAAAAGAAACAAAGTTTTTGGGGGTTATTCTCGACTCTAAGCTTTCTTGGAAAAGGAAGACTGAAGGGCGGAGAAAAGACGCGCTCAATGCGCTCTACTCCTGCAAAGCTATAATTGGAAAAACTGACAAAAATCGGAACATTTCTAAAGTATCGAAGCCGAAGAGTTTTATCTAAAACAAAACAAAGAGAGAAAAACTTTGAAAAACGATGGAAAAAATGTGTGCACAATATATACATATACAGCTTTTATTTTTCATATCCCTTTTTTAAGAAAACTATTATTATCTTTTATAATTTCACTAAATTCAAGTTAGTATCGTTTGATTAAAAGAAAATAACAAACTTAACAAATAAATTAATACCCTTAAACAAAGAAGAATGATAGCTGCAATATACCGAGAGTGCCAGGTTGAAACAATGAAACCAAAGATCTTAGAAAATAATGGTTTTTGGGCCAGAGTACAGGGAGACTCCCATTAAAAAATATTCAGCGGAACAACTTTCTCAAAATCGGTACTGACCCGCCAAAATCTGTGCGAATGGTCACCGTAGCCATAGTATATCGCTATTAGGCCTTGAGCGTGTATTTTATTAAACGTACATACATACAAATGTGCAATTTTGCATATAGTGTAGCCGTTTCGAGTGACACTGAAGGCAACTTCCAAGGCCTTCCCTGCCACAAAAACGTTTGCGTGAAATACTTATACTGCCGTTTAAATGGCTAATTCTTTGCATTTTATTAAATTTAACAAGGAAGTATTCGCTAATTTGCAATCACCAGGGACTGTGTTCACTCTCCTAAATTTTACTAGCTGACATTGTGTGAGTTGAGTCACTGGAACGCAAATGCATTACCGAAAGATTTGTGAAAAGGGAAAAATATTTGAAAAATTTCATTAACGACGAATCAAATCGTTAAATAGTTTCCTAACGCTTTGAAGGTTGATTGGATGCCAGTAAAACTTGCAGATCATTGCGTGAAAATACCCGTACACAAAACGGCATAAATCACATAATCAAAAGGCGCACGCATGCATATGCATAGAGGCACTCACACAACTTGGCGGCGCAGCAGCAGCTTTGCTTGCGCTTGCCATTAGATTCGTTACACATATCAAAGCCGTGAAGCATCAGCATTCGACACGCCCGTCGCAAGTTTGTTTGTTGGCTGCAATACTTAATTTTTTGTTGTTTGGTGTTGCTGCGTTATGTTGGATGCGTTGTGCGTGGACACGCATGTGACAGCAGTTGCGCAACACCAAAGTCAAAATCAAGAAAAGCCTAAAGGACGACTAAAGGGGAACGCCGAGTGTCAGGCGACCGCCGACAAGGAACGTTTGCTGCGCTTGCACTGCACCGCGCCACGCCGAGCTACCCGAAAAATGGATGCGACCAAAATAATTCTAATTACGCATGTCCGTAGCGGCGCAGCCGGTTAAGCTGGCGGCCTACAGCGAATTATGTATTAAACTTCTCCGCTCAATTGAGGTGGTGCAGCGAAGATATGAAGAGGGTGCGCGGCGAGAAAAGTCTGTGGCGCAACGAATTGGCATTGGTCACACCGAGTATTAGACGAATTTTGATGGCATTAATTTGACGTCAATGCAGCAAAGCGGACGGACGCAGTTGAGCAGGCAGCGCTTAGTTTGTGAGCTGTGGGGAGGAAGAAGAACAAAACTATCTATGTATAGAAGGTGCTGTTGGTGATTAAATCACGCGTGTGCAGCTACAGTTGAATTGTGCGTCGTTGCAGTCAATTTGAATTCTTTACGCTGCACATGCGAAATTTTCACAGATTAACTCTCTGCCCGCCCCTCGCCCCTTTTCAGCATAAATTCACACATTTATGAATAAAGTTATGTGTTTGTTTGTGTGCTTGTGTTATATGCGGCTTAATAGGCCATGATGAAGTTAATAAGCTGCTGTGACTGTGTGCAAGAATTAGATGTTGCACGTAGAGCGAACGTGGCTAATGTGTATTTGATATATGTATGTCTGAATTTGAACAAAATTAACGGGTGGTTACGGATGCATGTATTCTTCTTATCCTTACGGAGTAATACCCAGAAGCAATTTTGTCAAGGCCTTCCCTTGATAAGGTATTACAGAACAGCTCCAAAGCAAGTGCAAGGCACAACTAAACATCACTACGAAGAGAGTGCTTCCAGTGCTCCTTCTTGAGAAGTTAGTATGCGACGTGGTAAGTAAATAAACTGACGAGTTTAAAAATTTGAAAACACATTTACATGTTGTGGCTGCAGTTGAGTGTGCAGAGAGGTTCGCTATTATTTGTTAGCTTTTAGGAAGGCCGGGTTCGAATCTTGTCGAAACTT